TATATATAATAAATAAAGACAAAAAGGATAAAAGGAGAAGAGAGAAAATTTATAAGTTTTTTATTAACTGTGCATATTTTCCATTGTTTATTATTTTCCATATTTCTCATTATTTTAAGTACAGTATTTTAAGTAAATTTGTCTTTATTTATTTTATTTACAGGATACTCTTAAATCCCATGTATTGATGTACCCTGTAAGTATTTTTACTTTTTATTTTACTACAAAATTATGTACCTCAATATAGTTGCATTTACTCTACTTAGCTTTTCATTTTTTGTATCTGTAATTACACTACTTACCATTTTCTTAGAAAAAAATCTGCAACAGACACTTATTGAAATTATTAGTAATCTATCAGCCCAGTGGCTGAGTGGTAGTGCTTCACGTTCTCGTGCCACAGGTCCTTAGTTCGATCCTCGGGGCAGGCAAGGTTGACGTAGCCTTTCATCCCTACAGTGGGTAGATAAAATGAGTACTAAGCATGTTTGGGAACTTAACTCTAGGGGTTCCACCTTCGGCTGACCAGCCAACCAGAACATCTGCTGTTGTCCTTTTCAGAGCCCAAGGTCAAGATAACTGAGATGGGCAGAGTTGGCCTTCTATGCGCTATTGCGCCACTGAGTTTAGTTTTATTCATGGAGAATTTTGGTTGTTTAGAAATGGAAATTAAAAATTTCTTCATATAAGCAAAAAATATACTTCTTTCACGGAAAAAAATGCACTCAAAATTCAATGACCATTATAGATGTCAAAATGAAGACTTTCATGATCTTTAAAATCTGCTTTTAAAATCATTTTCTTAAATAAATCTTTGACTCTTGTGTTAATAAAAATTTTAAGGGTATTGTTTTGGTTTAAACTTTTGTTTAAATTGTAAATGCTATATGTGTTTTTTTTTTAATTAATTTTTTTTAAATTAATGTTTTTTTTTTAAATTAATTTTGGGCTTTCTCAGTTTTCTTACCTCGTAACTTTTAGGATTTTACTGATATATGTCTGAAAATTAAGAAAAACATTTTTCTGTGGTATTACAATCGTACTATTTGATAAAATTACTTAATAACAAATTTATTTTGCACTATATACATATGGTTTATATGATATCTATGTCGCTTGTGATATTTTATGTCTCTCATATTGCATTACTGTGATGAGCAAAAAAAATTTTTTTTCACTGCTCTATTTGTGTATTTCCTCCTTTAAAAATTATAAGACTATCCTTACCCATTTTTTTAGTGAATTTTAAACTTTTGTTTTTCTATTTCATATAAATCTATTTTTTGGCTTTTAGTATATACAATTTTTCATATGTTCAAATTTTCTATAAACTGTGTGTTTCAGTATTTGTTTAAATATTCTAGTTAATCTGCAATTGTTTTGTAGCCTCAGAAGCAAATAAAATGTGAGCCTTCAACTTCTGCTGTAAATAACTGTTCTCTAAACTTGGGTAACTGTTCCTATGCTAAAAAACAAGATGGTTTCAATGGGAGTAAATATGTAAGTAGTTTTTTTTTTTAAAGCTAATAATTAGTATTTATATCATTGCCATAATCACTGATTTTCAACAATTCCAGTTATTGCTTTATCAGTTTACAGGGTTTCCACTCCACAGGGAAAACAGGAAAATTTAAAAATCACCTTAATTAGCAGGGAATTTTGAGTTTTTCCTTACGAACTGGGAGAATACAGGGAATTTTATTTCTTATTTTTGTCTTTTTTTGAAAAGTGATGACCTCTTAAAGCTCATTCTATGGGATATTTTAAGGATGATATTTCTGCTATGCTAAACTGTTTAATTCACGTTTAAGTATGTTAAGCTGTCCTTATTTCTTTAAGTTTTTACAGCAATTAAAAATAGTATAGTCAAATTTCTAATAATCGAGCACAAATTTCCAAACAGCATTACCAACAAAGAAAGTTAGATGTCAAAAATCTTTAAAAATTTTAGTTTCAATGTTAAAGGTATGTTAAAAAAATTTCTAGAAATAAATAAATGTAGTATAATTAATTTACAGAAATGCCAGTATTTTTCTACTAAAAACAATTCAAGCACTTTTAATCAAATTTTGAAAATAAATTTTATTTTTTAAAATACCCCTTATAACTCGAAAGCTCTTTATCTCAAATTTTTCGCCTTTCCCGTGAGATTTGAGATAAACAGGTCCGACTGTATATTTATATCACTTTTTACTACAGTTGTTGATTGTTATATGAAGACAAATCAAACTTTTTAAAACTGATTTTTAGTGTCATAAACTGTTTGCTAAATTAACTATTATGTGTTGACTGTTTTTTTTTCTATGTTACAGGTGAGTAAGACGTGTGTTGCTCCTAGTTTCAATTCCAGAAAGAAAAGAATGTATGAGCACTATAATGATCTTCAAAAAAGTTACTTTAACCTGAAGTCCCTAGATAGCATTCCTTCAGAAAATGGTATGCATAAAATATTATTATTATTATTTTTTTTTTAATTGAGCTATAAATAATTGCAATAAATAGTTTTTAGACATATTAACCCATTTTAGGCCAAGCATATAAATTTTTTAAAATGTAGTATTGTTTTCATTGAAATATGCTTACAATACATTAAAAAAAAAACACAAAAAAAAGTTTGTATGAAAAATTATATTTTATATAAGAAATTAAATGCTGCGTGTAGGCACCATTCACCAAATCAATGAGCAAACCATTTAGTTGAACGCTTGTTTATTTTCATGAAATTTGTTTCATTATTATTTTTTTTTTTTATTTACTGACTTGCAACTTTTATCCATCATAAAAGCATATGATAAATCTCAAAAGGAATAATTATGCATTTTTAAAAAATTTCATTTGTCAATAACCATTTTAAGTTTAAAAAATCTTGCGCAGTTTAAAAATTTCTCAACAGAAAGTGTTTATTCCAACTGAATTACTAATGATTTATGGATGCCTTAAGAACCCTTGACAACAGCAGAAAAATAAAATTGGTGAAAAATATATGTCACACTTTTAATAAAAAAATATTTATTGAAATGGTGCTTTTGCACACCTTTGGCCTAAAATGGGTTATTGTAATTTATTTTATTCATTTTAAGTTGACTTCTTGTTATTCACATTTTGAAATTCATTCATTTGTACAGATATAAATCCTTTAATTCATTTCAGAGCAATTGGCGAAAAAGCAAGGCTATAATTTTTAATCAAATTTGTCTTACAGCTATAGATTTAAGCTCTTTAGGACTGGTGGAAGGAAAGGGGAGCACTTCCCCAGGCCCACATGCTTTGTATTTGCTTGTGTACTAAGTGCTAATAAAAGAGTACTGAATTGAAATCACATCCATGTGATCTTAGGCAGTGGTCGGAAAAACTACATTATTTTTGTTATGACTACTTTGTTACAAATGTAGTTAACTAAAACTACTTTTTTTAAAATGTAGTGACTATAAACTACTTTGGAATCATAGTAACTACTTCACTACTTTAAGGAGTAGAGCTTTGCTGGAGAACTTAATTTACACCTATGTTCAAAATGGTTTTGAATAAGAAATAGGCTTACATCAAATATTAGGGAATAATTACAAAATATTTGTTCATGTTTACATGAGCCACTTTGTTATTCGAAATTTTTTTTAATTCATTCATTTAACCTTCAACTTTTTATCCCTTTTTCGACGGTAATTATTTAATTTAAGAACTGCGAAACTATCAAATACTTTAAATTTTTAAATTGTTTAATGCTCTTTTATTTCCCCTAAGAAATTAAGTACTTCGAAAATATGTTCCCTTCCTGTGAAATAACATCAATGTTCAACGAGTGTGCATTCACATGTGAAAATGTGACTGAAATGATTAATTATTTATTTTTCAAAATGACTAGTTTATATATTAGCTATATGTGATTTTAAATACATAATTTCTATTAATGCTCAGCTGCGGCCGTAGGGTTGCATCCATTGTATCCAACTGGTTGCATCCATTGTATCCAACTGGTTGCATCCATTGACAGATCTGCTAAGATTTGTACCCATAAAATTTTAAAAACTAGTTTGCTTTAGAGCCATGTTACTATTCTTAACTAACGTTAAAAGTAGTTGCTAGGATCACTACAAACTACTGGTTTATTATTTTTTTTTTTTTTGTATCCCACTACTCACTGCACTGCAAACTACGAAGAGTAGCAACTACAATAGTTTCACTACTTGAAGTGCGCTATTTCCGACCACTGATCTTAAGCCACTAGAGTCAGGAAGGCTTGTTTCATGTGTGATATAGTGGTTTGTGAAAGGAAAATTGCACGATCACACATGTGGTCATCATCCTGGAGGAGTTAATTCTTGATTTATGACATCTTAATTAAGTGTTAATTTTTAGTGCTATGTTTTATGAATAAAAGTGTATAGAATGAATTTCTTTCTATATTGTGTTCAATTACATTTTGTTTAGTTCAATTAAGTTTTTTTTTAAATTTATAATCTAATGTATAAAGTATTTTGCCCTCTCAAAAATAAATTTCTTATAAATAAGTTTTATTTTAAAACTTAAATAAATGGTTTTCTAAATTTTGTTTTATTTTGTTTATACAGGTTCTATGAGGACTTCAGGTATTGATTTATTTGAAGAAAATTTAATAAAATTTACTAGATTTAGTTATGTGAGACCTTTAGCTGCCTTAAACTATTCCAATGATTCTTTCAATGGATCCAATATAGTATCTAGGTAATCATTACTTTTACAATCTTCCTTACTTTTTCAATGAAATGTTTTGTTATATTCAACTTATATAAATTCAAATTATTATTTTTCAGCATTGAATTCGAAAAAGATAATGAATATTTTGCAATTGCGGGGGTCACGAAAAAAATAAAGGTGTGTTCCATCATAACTATTTTTAACTGTGCATTATTATGTGTTTTAATTCATCTAAGCGTCTATTTTTGAATTAACAATCTTTAAAGATTCATCATTGTGTAAAAAACAAATGAACTAGAATCTTGTGATTTGTTTAAAGTATCTTTTATAATATCTCACCGTTCTCTGATAAAGCTTTATGTCATTTTGTTTCTGCCAGTTCTTCACATTTTGTGTCAAGGCTATAAAAAAAAAACTTTTTTATGATTTTTTTTATGTGATACAACAAAATAAAAGAAACTATAGCTTTTTTTATAATAAGTTGTTCCAAAGAGCTACAAAACAAAATAGTGACCATAGAGCCTTTCTTTTTAATGTATGTAGGGCTGTACTTGCAAATTTTAAGTTAAGATAAATATTTCAGTTATATATGCAAATAATTTTTGAACTATAGGCTTTCTCTTCTTTTTTTTTTACTAATTTTTACAAGAACTGTTCATTTATTTATTTTTTAAATAAAACTTACTCAGCAAAATAGCTAATTATACAAAAATACGAAATAATTATACATACTTTTGTAAATAATGTATTATTATTTCATACTTAATTAGTAATTGATAATTATTATTAAACAAATGCCATCCATTGACTATTAGGTCATTAGGCTTCTAGCTTTCCAGTACTTCTTAACAATACAGTCAAAGTCTTTTAGTGCAGAGCACGTGTCCAAATGCTCAGCAGTCGTGGCTTGTCCGGAGTTACATGACTGCGCATTTGGACACGTGTTCATTGATAAAATATTAAATTGCCTTATTATAGTAATTTTAAGTTGGAAGTCAAAAAAAGGAAGATTTGTTTCAAATTACTACTTCAGCTAACTTTCGTGTTATTTATTTTTGTTTTTTCTAAGTTTCCAATCAGTTATGTGAGATGTACACAAAAATTTGAATACTGAGAAACTTTACCTCTCCTTATAAGCATAGAATGAAAATAGAAAGATTTTTTTCCAAAATCCTGAAATGTCCTAACTCCTTAACGCCTTGTGAATTTAAATAATTTCCTTTTTTTTTTTAGATTTTAATTTGTATTAAAAAAATTATAGTTATTGAAATACATGTAAAAATTTCAGCTTCAATTGTCAAATAAATTCAGTGATTTTCCTGGATTTTTATAAATGTGAGTAAATTTGTTCAATTGCTAAAAACTTTTGTTCAAAATTAAGCTATGGAAAATAGTTTTAGGCATCTATCAGGGCAGGCATCAGCAACTAAAAAGGTGATTAAAATAACTGTTTTGAGGAAAAGGTGACTGTGGTGACTATTTTAGCCAAAATCACAATCGTGGTTTCCTCATTGAGTAACATGAATGTAAAAAAAAAACTTTTTGTTTTACAGAAAGATAACATGATACAGTGCTTTGAACTGAGTTTGAGATTAGAAGTTAAAGTTAATAGTGATGTACTCTGAATACTACATTGTTTTTGTATTTATAATATTTTTTATTAGGTCTATGAGTATGCGTCTGTGATAAGAGATCCCATTGATGTTCATTGCCCAGTAAATGAGATGGTGTGCAACCAAAAAATTAGGTATAAGTTTCTTTTTTTGAAATACATATTACACAAATATTTTGTGGATTTTTTGAATTTTAAATATTGAATTTTATTATCCCTTTTTCTCGGGGTTTGACCCGCCTAGGTTTTATTGACAAAACCCGAGGGAAATTTGGTTTTATTTGAAAAAACCCGGGGGAAATTGGGTTTTTTCAATTAGTGCTCATAAACTTTAAGTTTTACTGTTTAAATATTTTTATTCATTAAGAAGTGTTGTATAAGCTTAAAAGTAGAAAATCCAAAAAGTTTTTTTAATTTTGTTACATGTATTTTATATTAAGTTTAAATAACGGATTATCAGTAATATAAATGGAACAAGTTTATTAATCTTTTTGTTTTCACACACATTTATTTAATATATTTATTAAACATATATATATATATATATATTACCTATTATAAAATTATAATCTGTAAATATTTATAATCAGTAATAACTAAAATTTCATCTGACTTTTGACTTAAATAAAAAACTGAAATAAATATTTAATGGTCTTCCATGTTTTTATAATAAGATTAATAGAAAGTGAAATTAAAATTACGTATAATTATAAAGAGTATAATAATTAATCCTGGGAAAATGATTTCATTTTTAGATAAATAATTTTAAAAAGTTCTTTTATAAAAAGTTTTAGCTTATTTTTTTAAAGCCAGAAAATAAAATTGTTTAAATTTGTTAATGTATCACTTGGTAAAAAATAATAATAATAATGATTGTTTCTTTTCAATTTTTTTAAGCATATGAATTAATAATAACAATCTGTTTTACTGTAAAATTGTAGGTTAGAGTTTCTTTTACTTTACTAATATTAAAAACTTAATCACATAAATCATTCAACTCTATTTGACAAATTTATGCTGCACAATAAATAATATAAAAGTGAATGTGCAACAATAAGTTTTATTAAAATTAAGAAAAAAATTTTTTGAAAAGACCCACTTATCGCTCCAATTGGGTTTTTTCAAGGTGGGCCCACGCAATAGAACCCGGGCGGGTTTTTTCAAAGTGGGCCGACTTGGCGAACCCTGTTTTTTCTTCATCCCAATGCAGGGTTGCCACAGACGACCAAAATGTGACTATTTGCAACCATTTTCAACCTCAGCAACTTTTAGCAACATGGCAACTTTTTTTTGCCTGAAAAGGCTAAAAAAGCAACTATTTTCAGGGAACTTGGCGACTAGTAGGACACTTTTCAGTGCTCCTAGAGATGTTGTTTTTTTTTAAAGTATAAATTGGGTTGGCCACCTGCAAGCCGCAGTAGCTTCTGAACACAGTGAATTTTTTCTTTTCTTAAAAAATTTTGGATTACAAATTTGAGTCATCACTTTTCAGTGCGCTCAATTTACACAGATTCCATTGCGAATCTATTTTGTTTCTCCATCACCTTTACAACGGTTATTGCTACGAAATTCTGCATGATTTAAAAAAAATAAATAAAATTTCTTATATTATAATACGATGACAGAATTTCCAATTGGAGTAATCACTTTTCACAATATATATATATGTTTGCCAAATCAATTATTGGTTAAACTGAAAATGTTTTAGAAAAAGTGTGTTTTTTTTTTNTTTTTTTTTTTTTTTTTTTTAATGAAAAAAAAAAATTTCTGAATATTTTCTTGTAATTAAAAGTATTTAATTTTCTGCAAATATATAAATTTTTTTGATATAAAAATTTTGTGCTGGAATGCTAATGTTTATATAAAAATTATCATATTTCCCACCAACTTGACTAAATAGATCGTGGCATATGACAATTAAGTCATTTAATAAAATTTTAGTCATATTTTTGTTCTTATTTAGGCAACTATTTTCATAGTTTTTGGTTGCCAATTCATGTCTAAGGCTAGTAAAAGCAACTATGTTGTTCACTTTTTTTGTAGCAACCCTGCAATGATATCATTTAACTAAATCTTTCAACCTGAAGATCATATTCTAAATTCCAGCATTTAATAATAATCTATTTTTTCAGCTGTATCAGTTGGAGTTCATTTCATAAAAACATGTTGGCCAGCAGTGATTACGAAGGTACTGTTACGCTTTGGGATGCTTTCACTAATCAGAAAGTAAAAACATATCAGGTAAGGCTATAAAATGTTCCACAGTGGAGTGTATGCTAATTATTATCTACTTTATACAATTGCTTTGTGTTTTCCACAATAATTGTAGAGCTTAGTAGAAGAACATATTAAGTGTCAGCAGTGAGAAATGTTTGTATAAAATAGCTATTACTAATAAAAGAACAGAAAAAAACCTATTGAATAACTTTTTTAAACACTCAATATTTTGGGAGTAACGATTAATTTTAACTCTGAATTATTGTTTTGTTCTGCCAATGCTTCCCCTATTGCGTTTTTCCTTAGAAGTTGTTTTATTTGTAACTTTTTATTATTTTACACTTCACTAAACATGTTAAGCTCTACCTTTAAATAATTCTACTTTTCTTTAATTCTATTCTTTGGTTTTTATATTTCATAACTACTTTACTACTTTTATGACATATTTCACATGCTTTCATTTATCTTCAGCTACCACTTGTGCAGAATGCCTTTGCTTTGCACCTTTTTTTGAAAGATTATGATCTATTAATGAAAAAGAGTGTACCTTTATTTATATGTTGTTGTCATTGTTTGCATGTTTCTTTGTTTAGATTTTCCAGGGATTAAAATTAGCCTATAAATCTATAGTTCCTATATTTTTTTAAAACCTTAAAAACATCCTATCTAATCAAAATTTTCCTATAAATCCTATTTTTTCTTGCATAGCAATGTCACAATGCCAAATTTACAGATTTTACATCGTGTGATTATTTGTAAAATCTACATTGACTGTGATAAGGCAGCGTCAAATAATTGAAGCTCCTATTGATAAAATTTCAAATTAGTGGAATATATATGTAAATGATGATGACATACTAGAAAAATGAAGCAAACTTTGAAAATTTCTGGAAACCCATTGATTATTTTTGGGCCAAAATAAGCTGTTTTCAATTTAAAAAATAATCTGGATCTTTATAGTGACCTATTTGTTTTTATCAGATCTTGTCCCACATTTTCCCATGGACAGACGGGAGTTGAAAGAGATTTCTCTGTTAAAACAATTATCATGTCTGAAAGTATCAAAATACTTTAGAAGAAAAGGTTACAGATATTTGCACCACTTAAAAAATTATTAAATGTTATAGAGATGCAGCTGCTTCAGAGAATGCCATATCGCAGAAGAAAGTTTTCCTCGCGAATACTCTCTCTCCTTCATTACTGATTTGAAGTGTAGAAAAAGTGAGTTCAAACAATCCTAGAGTAAGTCACGAAGTTTTGAAATACTGAAACAGAAAATCTTTAAAATATACAAATGAAAATAAATGATGAGTTGGTAACTTAGGATTATGCAACGGTGAAGTTCTCTTCTCATAATTTGTTTGTACTTGAATATTTTGAAGTATTTATTTCAGCAATTGAAACATCATGACTTACTCTAAGTTTGACTGAACTTCCTTTTTCTTTATTTTAAATTAGTAATGAAGGAGAAAGAGAATTAGTGACGAAAAATTTCTTTCGCAATATAGCGTTCTCTTAACCGAAGACGTAAAAGACTTCTGAAGAAAAATAACAAATAGGTTAAAAGAAAATGTAGTACAAGCAAATCCTGATATAACTTTCTGGCATGAACGAGACCGTATCAAACATATATATTTGTGATTTAAAATTATACAATTTATAAAATTACTTTTTATAACTGCATTGTATTGATAACTTAAATCTTATTACAGGAGCATGAGAAAAGGTGTTGGAGCGTTGACTTCAATAAAGTGGATACCAAGTTGATAGCATCTGGTTCAGATGATTCAAAAGGTTAGATTATGTTGAAATTTTCAATGGTTAAACTTGTAAAATATGTTTAAATACAGGGTGTGTAGCTTTTTTCAAAAGTGCTTAAAGGTGCTTATTTTCGGTTTTGGTTTTTTTAGAAGGCCTTTAAGGTGTTTTTTTCATTGGGTGTTTAAAAAGTGCTTAAATTTTCCTTTCGAAAATTAGATTTTTTTCTTTACCATTTCGATTTTCACCACGTACTGTGCAAAAGCAGACTTTTCACATTGTTCTGTTCAAAGTTTTCACAATTCATTTAACCATCATCTACTTCGGCTTACCGTCGGTCCATTGCGTATGAAAGTGCCAATCGTTTTACATGTTTGATGAAATACTTGCGAGACTGCATGTGCGTCTACTGAGCTGGGTTCGGGGAGATTATTTCACTTTCATGGGGCACTCTGCCGCATTTTTTAAGATGTTCTCAATTTTAGGCTTCATTTTCCACCCTCTTACATCGAACCGAAAAATCTCATTTTATAATCGCTAATACAATCAAGAAAAGAGTTCTTTGTCAGAAACTAGTTATTTTATTATGTTCATGTAAAGTCTTTGAAAATTAATTTGCATTTGTTTTTAATATATATACTGCTTAAAAATACTTAAAAGATGCTTATTTTTTGTTGAAAGATTTCGCTACATACCATGAAATAAAATGTTTAAAGTTGTGATAATGTTGAACTTCTTTAAAAGAAAAACATTTTGACCATCTTAAATAGTTGATATACAAATAAGTCATTGTTTAAAAACGGTGTAAATTTAAATGTGTAAATATTTTATGGTTTCAAATAATATTATATTCTTCCCTATTAATCGATTATTGTTAAAAAAAAAAGTTTACTAATTAAAATGTGTACTTTTTTAATAGATTCAAATAATTTCCTATGTTCCCAATGAATAATTATTATTTTTGTTTATTTTATAATTATTTTTTTCAAACAAATGAATTTTTAGTTGAAAAAGTTATTGTTTATTGGATTAAAATAATTTTGTATCCTCCCAAATCCAATTTTGTTTAAAAATTATTACATTTTCTTATTAAATAAAAGGTTATTTATGCAAAAGTTATTTAATAGCTTTAAAAATGTGTTAAAAAATTTTTTTTAATTTATTGTGATTTAATATTGTTTATTACTGCAAATAATTGATAACCATCCTAAATAATATCCATTTAGAACGAGCATGATATTTGTTTCGAAATAGGAGATGTTAGACTTAGCTGATAATTTAATTACTCTTTGATTAAACCCTTAAATTAAGTTTGCTCTATAAAAATTTGATTATGTGTATTTGAATTCATTTTTAATTTTTCCAAATAAGTTCCCCACATGGGCACTTAAATTTGGTTATAAATTCAAATAAAATTATTAGAACCCTGTAATATGTGTATAATGTAGTATGTGTATTGAATTTTAAGAAACTCGTGTTTAAAGCTTATGCAATTAACTGTTCATATTTATTGTGAGATTTTAATGCTCTTTACTTTTTGACTTTTATGAAAGTTTAAAAGCTGAATTGTTTGGCAAATAGTTATTCTGTTGTGTGCAAGTTAGTGAGTTTTTTTTTTTTTTCCTTTTTCATTGAACTCTTTATATTACTCTTTATGGAAAAAAAAGATACGAAACTTAATTCTGATTTTTAGTTAATGGTTTTTTTGCTTTGGGATTTTTTTTTGTTCTTAGATTTTTTGTTCATCTTTTTAAAGTAATGTATTTTCAAATTACTTAAATTTTTTTTTTGTGTGTGTGTGTTTGTGTGCACATTTTTATAAGTCAGTAACACCTTTAGCAATTTAATTATAATATGCAGCATAGCTTTTAAAGAATCTTAATGAAATAATTTAGCTTTAAATAAAAAAAAGCTCTATGATTCAAAAAGCTTAAAAATTACTTAAAATCTGCAATGATGTTTGAAAATGTATAGGAATAGTCCTAAAAGTGTTAATATTAAATATTTACATATATTTATAATACTTTTCTTCCAAAAATTTACTATGAATCTTCTGTTTTATTAGCAGATAAAGTCGAATTTTAGTTTATGCATTAATTCAGTTGATTTCTAAGTCCATAAAAACGTCTGTTTAATAATTTAATATTATTCTTTAACCATCCTATAAACTAAAAGTCATTAATTATGATCCTCAGGTTTTTAGTTCCTTACTATAAATTAAAATGTAATATGTGTTAATTATTTTATCTTTAGTTAAACTCTGGATGACTAATATGGAACATTCCTGTGCTACGCTGGAGGCTAAAGCCAATGTTTGTTGTGTCAAGTTTAGCCCATCTAGCAAATATCACCTAGCATTTGGTTCTGCAGGTTAAAATTATTTATATTTTATTTTAAATATTAATTTAAAAGAAGGCAAATTAATTTTAAGAAAAATAGTTTAGAACTGTTTTATTTAGAAAAAGAAAAACTCTCATTTAAAATTTTCTCACAGTTTTGTATTTTGAATTTTTTCCCCCTTTTTTTAGTATCGAGAATATATTGAAAAATGTATGCTCATGGTTAACTAAACTCAGTGTGCCAAAATTGAATATGCTATCTTTAACAAACACAATTCAAAGTTTTTTTTTATTTTTATCTTTAATTCAAGTTGTAGGAATTGTATATACATAAGTAGTTTTCAATTATTGATTTACAGAATAAGATAATCAAACTTTAAACAATCATAGTGTAATTCTGAATGATTTAGGCACCATGAGAACTATTATTTTAATGTATTTCTGCTACATTATTTTTTTTTTAGAAAATTAATAAAAATTAGACTGCTAATAATAATGTTTCAAGCTTAAAATTATCCTTTTTTTCCCTTTTTTTAAAAAGTAATAAAATAATTAGCATACATAAATCATATGTAGTAATAAAATAATTTATTGAAATAAAAGGGTATAGTTTCTTTCTTGAATTTTTATAAGCAATTTTTGTCCAAAAAAGAAAACATTGTTATATTGGCTTTTAGTAAAATTACAAAATGAGACTAGATATTTTGGCTATGATACATACGTGGATCAAGAAATGAAACAGAAGAAATTATAAATTGGAAACAACTTATTTATATTATACATGTTTAATTTACATATTATATAATATATTTATATAATATTTTTATATTAATATATTTATTTGTAATATAAATTAAAAGTAATTTATTGTAAATATTTTTTTTTTAATATTGCAATTCCAAAAAAAAGAAAAAAGAAATAAAATCTGTTTATTGTATTTATTTATTTTTTTGGTTTTCAGTTGCGCAATGAATTTTCAAACTCATGCTTGAAAAATTTTGCCAAAAATTTTAAACACTTAGCTTATAAAATTTTTGAGACAGTAATTTTAAAAATAAAATGTTCAAAAAGATATGCTTTAAGTCTATGATAAGATAATGTTATACTTTTTGTTATGTTATGTTTATTAAATTTTTTTTATAAGATATATTTCAGTTGAAAATATTTAATAAATAATTAGCTTATACAGTAACTTTAAGTGATGCACTAAATTACTGTTAATATATTTTATTTATAGATCACTGTGTTCATTATTATGATTTACACAACCGTAGCTTTATTCATTTAGTGATGCACTAAATTACTGTTAATGTATTTTATTTATAGATCACTGTGTTCATTATTATGATTTATGTAGCAGTAGCTTTATTCATTTAGTGATGCACTAAATTACTGTCAATGTATTTTTTTTATAGATCACTGTTCATTATTATGATTTACATAACAGTAGTTTTATTCATTTAGTGATGCGCTAAATTACTGTTAATGTATTTTATTTATCGATCACTGTGTTAATTATTATGATTTATGTAGCAGTAGCTTTATTCATTTAGTGATGCACTAAATTACTATTAATATTTTTTTTTTTATAGATCACTGTGTTCATTATTATGATTTACGTAAATTAAGTGAAGCTCAGCAAGTATTTAAAGGGCATAAAAAGGCAGTTTCTTACGTCAAGTTTCTAAATGCTGAAGAAATAGTCTCTGCGTATGTGTTACCTTTTTTCTCCCATCTTTTTAGGTCATTGGTGTACATATATATTCTTAAACCAGGGTTGGGGTTTTGGACGTCCTAAACTGGGTTTGGAGAGGACACATGGGTTTTACTATTTTAAACTGACCAAAACTATCTTAAAGTGTTCAAAACCTTGAACGTTGGTAAAATGTAAAAATTTTGTATGTAACCATTGTACACATAATAATTGCATATGTTAATAAATATTTGATACCTTTTATACAATTTGCTTTAACTTATTAAAGGAAAATAATATAATAGGAAAAGATTTGTAACTTTTGAAGCTCTACAATTGAATGAACAACTAAAGTGAAGAATACCTTATCCTTTAAACATGAATAAATATGCTTTTAACACGTATAAATTATGTTTTTGCATGAGGATAAATAATACAATACTAAAAATAATAATAAACTTTTTTAATAAAACAAAAACTTGTTTTCATTCTGTTTCTTGTTCAAAAATTAATTTTTTTTTTTTTTTTTACAATATTTTTTTTAAATTGTGCCATATTATAAATACAAGGGGTTTTGAACAGGACGGTTTAAACCGTGGATTAATCCATCCTGTCCTAAAACTTGCCAAACTCTTTCTTAAACATTCAATGATTGTTTATAAAATGCAACATTTTGATTAAGTCGTATCTTTAATTTATTTTTGTAATACTGCTTTTAAACAATTCTTATTTTATCATGGATAAAAAAAAATCATGAGAATTTTTTTAAGAATGCATTTGCAATTTTTACAGTTCTACAGATAGCCAGTTAAAACTGTGGGACGTCCTGCATCAGAATGCCCTGCGTTCTTTTAAAGGTCATCTGAATGAAAAGAATTTTGTTGGTTTAGCCACAGATGGTGATTTCATCACTTGTGGTGAGTGTTAATCTATTTTGTACTTCTATTGATTAATTGGTGCACTAAGAAAACTGGTATGCTTTTAGAACTTTTTTTGATATGCAGTTTTTAAAATGAAAAAAACAAAACAAAATTCATCCCTACTAAGGTAAAAAAATTATTTTGACTGTATAACTCTATTTAAAAATAAAGTAATTCAAAATTACAGCTATAATTCATAATTAATTGATGTATATAAATAAAAATTGGTATGCTTTAAAAAATTTTTGCTCAAATGATTTGAATTTTTAAAGCACCTAACACTAAGTCCAAAAACATCTATCACTATTCTTTACATATCTATCACTATTCTTTACAAATTATTCTAAAGTATATTATTTCAATAACAAAAATTACTATTAAAAGTTAATCCATATCATTATATTATTACCTTATGAGATGAATATTATTTTAAAAAAAAAAAAAATTACTACATTTTCAACCATAAAATTTCCCTAATTGACCTGGCTGGTTAATTTGACAAAAATCTAATTTTTAATAGACATTTTTTAGAAAAAGAAAAAAAAAAAAAAAACAGGAGAAAAGATAAACTAAAATTACAGAAGCTCTTATGAATGTGCTAGGAAATCAGACACCTGGATATGCGACCAGATAACTTAGCAATTGCCTTGGCATAGTATTTAATTAGAATTGTCAAAATGTATTTAATAACAAACAATAAGTAATAATAATAAGTTACAAAGTTATAATTGAAATAACTAGTAATATTAAAAAAAATTTAAGACAATTCCTGCTTAGGTCAACAAAGAAAATTTTTATTTTGGTTAGTTTTTTAAATAATAATAATTTTTTAAACTAAAATTAATTGAATTTAGTTAATGAATTAATATTTGAAAAAACTATATACCACTGAAACCTCCACTACGAGTATTGAGTAAAAATATTGAATAAAATGGCAAGAGTATGTGTCACTACTTCTACTTAAAACATATGTGCCTTAATATGAATTTCATATTTGTCATAACACAAGTGGTCTTGAGTTCGATCCTTGCTGTCCCAAAACTCCCTGTGTGGTAAATAGCACTGGGGCACATTAAATCTGTCGAGTAACAAAGTCTTCCAAGTTCCCATAACAAATTTATACCTCTGCTGGTACCAAATTGGGGATAGATCATTCTCTGATTCAGGTCGAAATTACGATCTGTGGATGAATAATTGGGTCCGCCCTCTAACGTGTGTGGGGCTGAAATCAAACTCTTGGCAATTGATGGCACCACTTAACTACAAGAAATACACCATCTGCCTTAAATCTGCTTAGTTCCACCAAGCAGGCTTTGTGGTATTGACAAATAGCATTAGAAGGCCGGGATAGGTTGATCCATGTCCAAGAGGTTGTCGATTCGATCCCCGCTGGCCAAAGTCTCCCCCCGTGTTAAATGGTGACTGATGCATGTTAAATCTGTTGGGTCACAAAGTCCTCCATGTTCCCATAACAAATCATATCTCTGGGAGTACTGATCTAGGAGTCTTGTCTTCTGGATTGGTTCAAAATGGCTATGGAATTGAACATCAGCTATGCAATTGATCATAAACCCGAAATTGGTTCGGTTGTTCAACGTCGGTTATAATATAAAATTAAAAAGTAGCATTAGAAACAACATATTTATTGAAATATTTCTTCTTTCAAAGCACTACAGCCTGTTCCAGGCCAAGTGTTCTTTGTGTAATTGTTTCATGTAAGAAATATTTGTTTTATGTATATTTATAGTGATGTTTTTACTTTTTAACAGGGAGTGAGAATAATTCATTATATGTGTATTACAAAGGTCTTTCTTCACCAGTGCTGACATTTAAGTTTGAGACATTCAAAAGTATACTTGTAAGTAATTAAAAAAATTAAGGTAACATAAATATATTACTGATATTATTTATTCCTAAATTAATTTGTTATTCATTCAAATTAGGACAGAAATGTTAAGGAAGATGACTCAAATGAATTTGTTAGTGCTGTATGTTGGAGAATGGTAAGGATAATTTTATTTTTAATAAATAGAACTTTATAAAAAAAATATTATGCACTAAAAACTGCAATGTTTTATTTCATTTGAATTGCAATGCTTTAGAATTACTTAAGATAACTGACTTTAAGAAATTGTTGATTTTTATTGTTGTTAATTTTAATATTGAAATTGTTAATTTTTTGTTGATAATTTATTTTAAATTAATAAACAAGTTTAAACTTGCGAAGTGCATCCCAATTGCCTTCTGTTCTAAAGAATATACAGTGTATCTGCGCACTTGGAAAGTCATGAGAATTCATGAAAGGTCGTGAATTTCGGTATTGAACAAAATTTGTCATGATTTTAACTATTTAAAAAAAAATCATGAATTTAGGTTGCTGATTCTATTTCATGGTGTTCCAAATATATGAATTTGTAATAAAATCCCCACTTACAGTCATATTTTATTGAAATATTAAATATTTTTATCGTCTCCTTTAAAAATAATGGTGTTCTTTCAAAAAATGAAAGAAGAAACATTTCTAAAGGGATATTATCTTTTAAACTTCTCTGATTTCAGATTTTTTTTAAAATCATTTTTTCACTTTAAAAATCTAGCTGAAGCAAGCTAGTCATTGGGAATTTTTTTTATTCCGAATTGAGAACAGAAAAATCTGGAGAATTCCTTTCCCCCATAAACAAGAAAAGTATCTTTAAAATATAATTCTGCAGAAGAAAAAAAAAGAAAAAATTATTTGCTTTTGTATTTTTTTCAGCTGTTTTATTGCTTTAACTATTTCATTACTCTGTTTTTTTAAGTTTAAAATCAATAAATATGAAGATGCAGATTATAACAGTTTTGGTTATACCTATCATTTCAATGAATGTTATTATAATGCTTTTTTAAATTTGTTGCTGTGTTTTTGTCAAAGAAAATAGTAACTTCGTTTAGTCATGAAAAAAAATTCTTGGAATTAGTCATGGAAAGTCATGAATTTGAACATCTTAAAATGTAGCAGATACCCTGAACATAACTTAAATAAAATGATTTTCTGAAACCCTTTGTTATCGGAAACATTCTTTAATAACATCATTTATCTCTCTCATACAACTAGAAAAATGTTGACTAGTAATTGAAATCAAATGTTTTGTGGATATTCAATCTTTCTAGAAGGCCTATGAGATATTATTTTGGAAAAGTTTCCCTAGATAAAATTGTATTATATTCTTTCTTTTTTTTAAAATAACAATATGATGAAAAATTGCCTGTTTAATTTTGCCAGATAAAAATACCCCTTTTTTGTAACATTTCTCAATATTTCTATTTATTTCTATAGGGTTCAAATGTAGTTGTTGCTGCCAACAGTCAAGGAAATATTAAAGTAAGTTGTTTTAGTAGATATTTTATGTCATAAATTATTATTAATTTAAGCAAATTCTCATGATACGAATTCCGCATCCGGCTTGCACCAACCACAGTGCTGGCATAAAATATCCTCACTGGTAGGCGGATCATGGGTTAGAGTCATCTTACTTTCAGGCTAACTATTTAAGTTTTTCGTAGTTTTCCTCTCCCTGAAACGCAAATGCGGGTTAGTTCATTTAAAAAGTCCTACGAAGGCAAATTTCTCCCAATACTTGACCCAGGAGTTCTCTTGTCTTCTGGATCGGGTTCAAAATTGCAAGGCTACGTATTTAAACATAAACCCAAAAAATTGGGTCGGCCATTCAATGACTGTTAAAAATGAAACTCAAATTCTTTATATATATATAATATATATGTATTGGATTCGGAAGAAAGTAATTTAGCTTTTTTAGTGTGTAATAAAACTCACTTTTTCAAAACTGTAGTCCGTGGATCGAGATTCAGACAGAAAGTAAAAGTTTATTAACAAAAAGCAAACAAACACATACAAATTTAAAAAGAACGCCATCTGGCGGTATAAAAAGAAAGACTTCGTAGCTATCCTTCCCAGGGAATGACAACAATCTCCCCCTGCGAGAAGGATTTTACTTTTTAACACATATAACAATATACACATAAAAAATATTAATTCTTTTAACATAAATTTCAAATTAAACTTATTTTTTCCAAAGAAAAAATTAACTTCTCAAAAGTTACAGCTTTAGTTAAAAAATCAGAAATATTATCATTAGTATTCTTATAAACAGTTTTTAAAATTTTATCTTCAATCATATCTCTCACAAAATGAAATTTAAGGTTTACATGCCTGGTTTTGTTAGAAGATTTACCATTATTCAACCAGTCAATAGCTGCTTGGCTATCAGAAAACATAGTAACAGGAGCATCAATAAATTTTTTACAGTTCAGTTCATTTAACATATTTATTATCCAAGTAAGTTCTCGAGCTGTGTCAGCTGCAGCAAATAATTCAGCTTCACATGTTGAAAGTCCTACACATCTTTGTTTTCTACTTTTCCATGTTATAAGAGAATTACCTATCATAATTACACAACCTGAAAAAGATTTTCCTCCTTCTGCATTGCCCCAACTTGCATCCGCACTACAGCTTAAAAAACCAAATTCTTTACTATAAAACAAGACTCTATCTTTTGAACCGTTCAAATATTTCAAAACTCTCTTGGCCAAAACATAATGCCTTTTTTCAGGACGTTTATTAAATTGTGATAAATAACTAGTTACAAAAGCAATATCTGGTCGGGTTCTATTTGCTAAATATAAAAGTTCACCGACGATTTCCTGATAATCAGTCTGATCTACTAAATCATCAGTAGGATTAAAACATCTATCTTCACCTTTAGTTATGGGAATATTTGTTTTCTTACA